CAGATAAGTATTTACAATGTGGTTGAAGCAAACACTGATATAGACGTCCCTTCGCAGTACAGAGATGCCGTCCAATCGATGATTCAGGAGTTTAACGAAAAGAAGCAGACTGCCGTGTGCCCGATCATGCTGAAGATCGTGCCGGATGAGAACATAGCACCGTTTCGACATGCGCCAAATCGAGTGGCCATTAGCGAAGCCGATGTCGTTAAGCAGCAGGTCGATGAATGGGCCAACGCTGGGATAATACGACGCTCATCATCGAATTTCGCCAGTCGGACAGTAATCGTCAAGAAAAAAGATGGGAGCAACCGGGTCTGCGTGGACTATCGTCAGTTGAATAAGATGGTCTTGAAAGATTGTTTCCCCGTTCCAATCGTTGAAGATGTGCTAGAGAAACTGGAAAATGCAAAAATGTTCACCATCATGGACCTGGAAAATGGATTCTTTCACGTTCCTGTGGAAGAAGGCAGCAAGAAGTATACGGCGTTCATAACGAAGCAAGACCTCTATGAGTTCAACCGCGCGCCTTTCGGTTTTTGCAATTCGCCAGCAGTTTTCATCCGTTTTATTGGCTATGTATTTCAAAACCTCATAAATGAAAACATCCTAGACTTGTACATGGACGATATCGTTATACACGCCGAAACCGCAGACGAATGCCTGGGAAAGCTAAAGAAGGTTTTTGATGCAGCAGCTGAATACGGGCTGAAGATGAAGTGGAAGAAGTGCAGATTCCTGCAGTCCACCATTACATTCTTGGGCCATCAAGTTGGAGGAGGAGAAATCAAGCCTGGACCGGAGAAAACCAAAGTCATCAGAATGTTTCCGATGCCGCAAAACATAAAGTCTGTGCAGTCCTTTTTAGGATTAACTGGTTTTTTCCGTAAATTTATAAAGAACTATTCACTAATCGCAAAACCATTAACGAATCTGCTGCGAAAAGATGTCCAATTCAAAATAGGTCTGGAGGAGCAGCAGGCGGTCGCCATACTAAAGGAAGCATTGGTGAACGAGCCGGTGTTAAGACTCTATCGCAGGAATGCAAAAACCGAGATACATACTGATGCGTCGAAGGACGGGTTCGCAACCGCACTGTTACAGTGGCACGAAGGACAATTGCATCCGATCTTATTCTGGAGTAAGAAAACGTCAGAGTCTGAAGCACGACAGCATAGCTATATACAGGAAGCCAAAGCTATTTTTCTCGCATGCATAAAATTTCGCCAGTACATACTTGGAACCAACTTTAAGCTCGTAACTGATTGCGCCGCCTTTAAGCAAACGTTAAGCAAGAAGGACGTTCCGCGTGAGGTAGCCCAATGGGTTCTGTACCTGCAGGACTATGATTTCGAAGTGGAACACAGAGCAGGAGAACGTATGAAGCATGTGGATTGCCTGAGCCGATACCCAATTGATGTGATGATGGTAACGTCGGAGGTCACAGCAAGAATTAAGAAAGCCCAACAGGAGGACACGATGATCAAAGCAGTTTCCGAAATTCTAAAAGTAAGCCATATGACAACTTTAAATTGAAGGCTGGTCTTGTGTACAAGGTTGTGAAAGGAACGGATTTGCTGGCGATACCGAAATCGCTAGAGAGGGAAATAATAACCGAGGCTCACAACGCAGGACACTTCGCCGCCCAAAAAACAATGCATGCCGTACAGCAGAGCTATTGGATCCCACATATGGAAGGGAAAGTACTGCAGATCATAGGGAACTGTATGAAATGCATAATTTACAACAAAAAGCTGGGCAAAAAAGAAGGGTTTTTGCATCAAATCGACAAGGGATCAGAGCCGCTTCATACTCTACATGTGGATCACCTGGGGCCGATGGACGCTACTTCAAAGCAGTACAAGTACATCTTCGCGATGGTGGATAGCTTTAGCAAGTTCGTATGGATGTATCCACAGAGAACAACAGACGCAGACGAAGTTCTCAAGAAGTTAAGGGAATGGTCTGATATCTTTGGAAATCCGGCTCGGATTGTAAGCGATCGTGGAGCAGCATTTACGTCTTCTAGTTTTGAGGAGTTTGTGAAGGAAGAGAACATCGAACACGTATGGGGCACCACAGGGGTGCCAAGAGGCAATGGACAAATTGAACGCGTAAACCGATCCATTCTGAGCATTATTTCAAAATTGTCGTCGGAGGAACCTGGAAAATGGTATAAGTTCGTACCCCGAGTTCAGAGGGCTATTAATAGCACTGTTGATGGATCTACAAAGCGTTGTCCATTTGAGCTGATGATCGGTGTAAAAATGCGTTGTGGACCAGATAGCGATATACTTCAGGTAATAGAAAAGGAGATGGTTGATCATTTTGACGACGAAAGACAGAAGATGCGACAAGAAGCAAAAGAAAACATTCAGCAGGCCCAGAACAGATACAAGGAACAATTCGATAAAAAGCGGAAATGCGAGTACGGATACAAAGTCGGAGATCTCGTGGCCATACGCAGAACACAATTCACAGCTGGAAGAAAGATAGCTAGCGAATTCTTAGGACCATACGAAATAACCAACGTGAAACGAGGCGGACGCTATAATGTTCGAAAAGCAGCAGACTTCGAAGGACCAAATAACACGACCACGAGCAACGATAATATGAAACTATGGAGATTTTCGGTAGAAAACGAGGACGCATGGTCATCAGGGACTGATGACTAATCAGGATGACCGAATGTAAGAGGGACTGAGCAAGTCGGCCCACTGAAGGAGCATTGGTTAACAGCAGTGACAGCAGAGCAGCAGCGGTAACAGTAGATGAACAGCAGAACGAGAAACAACAGCAGAGAGGAATATCAGCAGAAGGAGTAGAAAGAAGACAACCGAAGCAGACGGACGTAGCGTTGAACAGCAGCAGCAGAAATCAGCCGATATCAGACAGTTACCGAAGCCCAACTATTCTTACTATTACCTGTGCACCGCGATATAATATCAATAAAACTATACCTAAATAACAACTTACATATATGTTTGCAGATTCTGAAGGTACTCACAATCTCACTCGGAATTGCTGGCAATCTAAAGGTTATTGAGTCGGAGCCAGGCCAGGAGATAAGGATGTTCCGAATTTAATGATATTATTCTGGTTGTTTCTTTTCGTCAAGAAAAATTACTTACTAAGTTAATTCAAACGTCTAGTATTTCATTGTGTAGGAATTTTGGTTCTGACTCAAGTCGGTTCCATACCACGTATTAAATATCTAGAATACTTTCATCTGTCTAACTGGAATTGAGATTTGCTCAGATTGGAGATTTTTTTCGGTCAGTTCCTCTTTTAGTTACATTAGATATTCATTAGATATTATTTCTTTTTGTAGATTTTGTCCACGGATTTCGAGATTTTCTGTACTTCTTTCTAACACTTACTGCGGATACGAATGCTTAAGGATAAGTCCCTCGATTCCAAATCCAGTTTTGGTTTACTATAGATGTTAGTGTTTGTTATAACCTAGCAAAGAGGCAGAAGGTTACTAATCCGGCTCGAATGACCGGATTCCATCATTTCCGTCAACCAAACCTTTCACCACGTGTGCACAGGTCTTATGATTATTTCTGGTCGTCGTCGTCTGGTTATTTCTTAGAAACCAACAGGAATTTTTGTTGTATCGACGAGCTATTTTTGTTCAATTTGTATTTCACAGCTTCGTCAATCTTTTGCAATACCACCATTTTCAGTCGACATACAGATAATGACTGCCAACTCATCTTGGATCAAAAATATACATAAATGTGTTGACTTCGGTCACACTTACAAAATATCCGATATTCGTTGTAGGGGTTTAATAAGGAAAGGGTTAAATTAAAACGAGAAGGCACGTGTGAGTCGCTTCTGGGGATGCGACTCTACTTATAGCCGTATTCAGTCAGTACATTAATTTTTGAGCTTATCTTAACTCTTTTTTGAGTACGGGTATAAAAACTGTCCAGCGCATCCGTTGAGCTCAGGGGGCGACGCGGAAACATATTCTGAGGAAAAGAGAGAAATTGTAATTATACAGGTCTTGGCTTCTAATTCAAATCAAGTGAAGATTTCATTCTTTTCATACCCGTTCAACGTTGATTTGTAACTTACAAAGGGATTTTCTTTCTATCGTCTCTCTTTCATTCGGGCTAAATCATCGTTACAGATAACTACTTATATAGGTTTTCTTTTATTTTTATATATAGATAATAAAGAACTAATATAATCCTTAAGAAGGGATTACTACTAATTGAGAAAAAGAATGTACTGTCTAAAAATCGAGACTATGGTTTTACATTATCTCATGGCTCTCCCATTTACAATATGTGTCTGCACAGCACAATTGTCTATTTGCACAGTTTGAGAAGTACTATGACTGTCATGAAGAACTTTCAGCCGAAAGCTTTGGCGGCACGCTTAATACACAAGAGAGTAGGGTGAAGAGTGTGGCTTATGGATTTCTTCAAATTCACATGTACATCGTTCTATTAGTTTTACTCAATCTCCTCTCCTACTTTATATCTGCATATAGATATTCATAAAAGTATTTATTCAGCTAGTCTGTCTCTTCACTTTAGTAATTTTTCTTGGGTCGTTTTCGTTGCTTTATTTCGTTGACGATGATATGTAAGGTTCCTGGAGTTCCTGGGGAGATCCGAGGTCTCTCCCAACGCTACCAGAACGGTCGATGTACTTTGCTGCTCCCGTTTTTTTTTGATGTGTCGGGTAGCACTTACTATGGAGAAAACTAGTTGGATTTCCAGCCCTAAGACACGAAACGGTTAGAACGGCTTCACTTATGAAACATTTAACTACCTTTTATCTTCCTTCACACACTGTAGAAAATTCGAAACTATGTTTTGATGCCTTTACTTAGGCTTGAGACGCGGGAATTAGTAGTAGAGACCAGAGCTGTGGGCGGAGATAAAAGGCGATCAAGAAATAAACCGTGCGAGACGAAGTTCAATTTACGATTGCTTTATTCCCACGCATCGCTTGTCGGCTATGCTGCGGGCGTGTAGTTGCATGTTGCTATGATTTACAGTGGCGGGACTTCATGTCGTAACCTTACGAACTACATTACATTCCATACATAACTTCATTGGTTTTCTACTTATTTACTCTTATTCTATTGTGTAACGACATTCCGGCCGCCTTGAACGACCGCACGTCGGGCTTCAACATATCGGCAAAAGTGCCAGCTTATGGATCGGGCGTCTAATCACGCCCCCTCCTGTTCGCACCTCTGCCACCCTGACCTTGCCGTCTGCTCCCACGACGACGCTGGTGACCCTGCCGGTGATCCACCGCTGCGGCGGCGTATGGTCGTTGTGGACCACCACCATGGCGCCGACCTCGATGTTGGCCTCTGGGGTTTGCCATTTGCTGCGTGCTTGCAGGTTGTGGACGTAGTCCTTCGACCAAGCCTGCCAGAACCGTCGTTTGAGCTCTGAGAGTAGTTGCCACCTCTTGGTAAAGGTGGTACCGCTGCTCCGTCCGTCTGGCTCGCACTCTTGCGGCAGCGAACGAAGGGGCTGGCCGATTAAAAAATGGCCTGGCGTCAGCACCTCTCCGTCGTTCGGATCCGTACTGGCTGGAGTGAGCGGCCTGGAGTTCATGATGGCCTCGGCCTCGGCCAACACGGTCCTCACCTCGCTCTCGGTGAGCGCGGCGTCCGCGACCTGCCGCACGATCAGGAGCTTTGCCGACTTGACTGCCGCCTCCCATAAACCGCCGAAGTGCGGTGCTCGCGGGGGGATGAATTTCCACTCCATCCCTTGCTCCGCTGCGAACGTCCTCAGGCTGGACTGCTGCTCCTCGAACGCTTCCTGAAGCCTCTGCAGCTCGTTCCGGGCTCCGACGAAATTTGTCCCGTTGTCGGAATACATCCTCAGCGGAACGCCACGTCTTGCGATGAAGCTTTTTAGAGATAAAAGAAAACAATTAGTCGACAGGTCTGGGACAAGCTCTAAATGGACGGCCTTCGAAGCGAAACACACAAATACCGCGATGTACATTTTGAGCGGCTGACGACCTCGAATCCGAAGCGAGACGTTGATGGGACCACAAAAGTCTACCCCGCAAATCAGGAACGGACGACCTTCCCTAAACCTGTCTGCTGGAAGATTCCCCATAATCTGACCCATCAATTTAGGTTTGTATCGAAAACAGTGGATGCATCTCCTCACTATGCGAGTGCATTCTCGCCGTGCATTTACTAGCCAAATCTCTTGTCTCAGCAAACTTACTAATGTCTTTGCATTGGCGTGACAATTTTTAAAATGCAGGTTCCTTAAATAGAGTTCGACGAATTGACTCTTGGCGGGAAGTAGAACCGGAAACTTAGCCTCTATTGGCACTGGAGCATGCAACAGCCTTCCTCCGACCCTGATCAGTGTAAACGATCGCCCCTCCTCTGATCTTTTTTGGATAAAAGGGGCCATCATCTGCAGGCTCGGTTGCAGCGTATTCCCTTTCTTCAGCTTCTTAAACTCTTCAGAGAAGACGCTTCGCTGAACCAGCTCCATCAATTTTAGAGACGATTGCTGCAACTCCTTTGCAGTTAGCTCCCTGTAATGTTCCTTGTTCTTGCCGATATTAGCAAATCGGTATACATACGCAAAAACTCGAACTAATTTGGGTACGACGAAAAACGAGAAAATATTTCATTTGAAAATGAGTTCGCAACGCCAATTAGAACCTGGGCGGACCGTTTCGCCTCGGAGTTCTTCACATCATCTGGGATGTTAAAATGCGGGTTCTCTGGCCAACAATGCTCAGGCTCACATAAAAATTTCGGACCTTCTAGCCATATGGACTCCAGGAGCTCAGGCACTTCGCATCCGCGAGACGCCAAGTCCGCTGGATTCGACAGCGATGGGACATGACGCCACGTAATGCCCTGACATAGCTCCTGAATCATGGCTACTCTATTTGAGACAAATACTGCAAGTGACGACGGTTGGGTTTTAATCCAATGTAGCGTTATTTCTGAATCCGTCCAGAAAAATACGCTCTCGATTCGACACTTTTCCAAAACTTGCTTTACGTAGGCCCAAAATTGCGCCAATAACGCTGCGGCGCACAATTCGAGCCTCGGGATGGTCTTTGTTTTTAGGGGAGCTACTCTTGCTTTCCCAGCGATCAATCGAACGTACGTTTGACCTTCGAAAAGCGCTCGCACATAAATGCAGCACCCATACGCTTGACTAGACGCGTCCGCGAAGCCATGCACTTGAATCGACGAGCACCCACTAGCCATAACGTACCGAGGCACGGCTATTTTGTCAAGACCACACAAGTTTAGCTTTAGCCTCTCCCAGCTTGTATGCAGTGACATTGGGATGGCTTCATCCCAATCCAGTTGAAGCTGCCACAGCTTCTGGAGGAAAATTTTCGCTGTTATGCTGATTGGACTAAGTAGCCCAAGCGGATCAAACAGTCGAGCACTAATTGACAGAATGGTGCGCTTAGTCGGATTCAAGTTTGTGAAGCTATCTTCCAAGTGATACCGGAACGTATCTGTTCTTGGACTCCACCTCATCCCCAATGTTTTGGTCGAATCGGCATCATTGAATGATAGGGATTTCTCCTCATTGTTTCCATCCATTAGTTCTGGATGGTTCGAAAACCATTTCGAAAGCTGAAACCCTCCGGAGCCAAGAATCTCAGACACCTGATCGCAAATCGACTTCAGCGTGTCTACGTCATCGGCTCCTGTCAGCATGTCGTCTACATAAAAATCACTGCAGATCACCTCAGAACCCTTCTTGTGGGTGTCTCTGTGGCGTACACCGAGCTCGTGCAAACAACGAATGGCAAGGAAAGGTGCTGCGGAAGTACCATAGGTAACTGTGTTCAACCGAAAAATTTGCAATTGATCGGTGGGATGTTCTCGCCACACGATGAGTTGGAAATTCCGGTCTTTTACGGCCACATCCACTTGCCTATACATTTTCGAAACGTCTGCCGTTAAAGCATACCGATTCACCCGAAATCGAACGAGTGATAAAAATAATTCCCTCTGAATAGTAGGTCCCACCATAAGTAAATCGTTTAATGACCACCCAGTTGTGGTCTTGCTCGACGCGTCAAAAACGACTCGAAGCTTGGTGGAACTGCTATCAGGCCTCAGGACGCACTGGTGTGGTATAAAATAATGTGGTCCTGGCGGAATCGCGTTGTCTGTCGGAGACATATGGCCGAGCTCGATATATTCTTTCATGAAACTGAGATACATGTCTCTCAGCTCACTCTCTCTTAACGTTCGTCGCTCTAACGATAAGAAACGACGTTTTGCGACCTCGAAGGACGACCCCAACGATACTGGGTCTGTCTTGAAAGGCAACGGTATTTGAAACCTTCCGGTCGGTAAATTGCAGACATTGGCTTTGAAAAACTCTTCGCATGCCAGCTGCTCTGCCGAATTTGTTTGAGCATGTTTTTCTTCTGGCGTTGCATCTATCTCCCACAGTCTTTCGACCATTTGAGATAGAGAGTCTTCTTCCGGTGAGTAGGTTGCGACGCAGCAAGCGGCTTCTCCAGTCAGAAGCTTGCTACACCGACCTGAAGCTACCCAACCTAAAAGGGTCTTTTGCAACAATGGTGCCCCTTCACCCAGTTTTATTTGGCCTGTGCACAACAGATCGAAGAACGAGTCTGCTCCAATCAGCATATCTACCCTTTGAGGTCGATGGAATGCTGGATCTGCCAACTCCACATTCGCAGGAATTTTCCACTGCTTAATGGGCAGACTTCTGTCAGGCTGCTGATTGGTAATGCTGCTAAGAACCCAGAAATCTGCTACGAAACTATGGTTATTTAACCTGGAGTATATTGTCGTCGAGACTTCACTCCTCGACACCGAGCTTGACTTGCCTACAGATGTCACTGTCAGGCAACGGTTGACCCTTGCCAACCTTAGCGATTGCGCTAGACTTTCTGTCATGAAATTGACCTGTGAACCCGAATCCAACAACACTCTTGCTAAGTGAACTTGGCCAAATCTGTCCCGAACTCTTACCACTGCTGTGGCAAGGATGACATGCTCGGGCTCACTGGATGCCTGCTTCACCTGCGCAGGATGGGACGATGCTTGTACTCCTATTGCCTGACTTTCTGAATCTGCGCTCTGAGCTGCGTATCTATGCAAGAGGGTGTGATGCCTCTGTGAACAAACTCTGCACTTAGAGGATGTGCACTGAGATACCCTATGTCCAGATTGGAGGCAATTAATGCATAATTGCTTGCCTTTTGCGAACTCGAAACGCTCCAAGACGGGTATTGCCCCAAATCCCTGGCAGTTTCCGATCGAATGGTTGGCGCCGCAATATAAACACTTGGGGTCGATCGACTTTTCGGCCCTCGCGCAAGAAAATGACGATCTGCTGGTTTTCTTGCTGGTCGACGGCATGTCAAACTTTGGTTTGCCTCTCGCTTTGGATGACTCCTCTGCTGAAAGGTGCTGGTACCGGCGGTTCAACATTTTCGCACAATCCGACCAGCAAGGGAGCTCATCGTAGTTAAGCTGCTCCTCATACTTTGTTTTTGTGTATGGGTCCACCTTGGATAACACCAGATGTATTATCATGGCGTTAGCAACCTCTCGCTCGTCTCCCAACGATAAAAGCGACTCAAGAATGGCTGACACTGTATCTATAGTTGATCGCAATGCAGACGCTGACGGCTTGGTTACGGCAGGAATGTCAAACAACTGGGCAAGTGTCTCAAAGAATATTAAGCACTTGTTGTCGTACACCCTCTTCAAACTTTCTAACGCCTTTGGATAGTTGGCATCTGACATTTGGAACGCCTTAACGGTTCCCAAGGCTTCATCGGACAAGCACGATATGAGATGGTTGAACTTCTCTATATTGGACAACGACGGGTCGGAATCTACCAAACTTTCAAACAGACTAATAAACTGTTTGTAATCCGCATGCTTGCCGCTGAACTTCGGCAACTTCAATTTTGGCAAATTGGAGTGGTGGTGTGTGGGTGCTGAATTCATGTATGGTTGAGGGGATCTGTTGGTCGCTGCCGACATGTACAGAGCCTTTGTGATCACACACGTTTCTTCCAACGCCGCCCTATCTGAATTATCTGGGTCTAGTACATCGATCTCGGACTGCAGTGCCATTGCTTTTTCAATATAGGAGTTCAATATTTCCAAACGACATTGGATTTGTAATGGATCCAGCGAAATTGAACCCTCCTCAAATGCTATCCTCATTCGATTTATATCTTCGCTTATCTTCTCCAACCTCACATATAATTTTGTGAGCTTCGTGCTTCCACACATTCCGCTCCCAGTTGCCTTCTCTTCATCATGATCTTTAGACATGTTGATTAAATTACCAACGTTGGCTGTTCCTAACTTCTAAACTTCAAACTTGCTAAGCGAAGGCGACGATAACCTGAGGAAATGCACTGCGTTCAATGAGAACAATGTTTGACAGTACGGCAAAAGTATTCAAGTACCCACGTATAAACGTATTAGGTTCGATGCGACAACGACTGCAACAGTTAGAACAGACAAAAACGCAACAAACGCAACCGAGCTCTGTCACGGCGAACCAAACTCGACCCACGTTCGATCCCCTACGAAACGGACGTCTGGAGTTCCAATGCGCGCAACGCTAAGCTAAGCGTACGCAACCAACATCAAGTTTGGCTCGACACACTGAGCTCGAACCAAGTTCGAACCAATAAGCAAACGCAATTCTAATGCGCGCAACGCACTCGACTCCCAATTAGAACAGCGTTCGACCCGAAAACTAAGTGGCGAACGATGTTTAATTGAGTGGCGCAATATAAGAGCGGATGATCAGCTCTCTCGCGCATACGACAAGCTCGGCGACACCAGCTAGAAAATTAGATGTCAAAGCGCACACAAATACCTAAATTAGAACAGCGTTCGACCCAAAACGAAGTGGCGAACGATGTTTCAATTGATTGGCACAATATAAGAGCGGATGATCAGCTCTCGTCACAAACGACAAGCTGGGCGACACCAGTTAGAGAGTTGGATAACCACGAAGCTGCGGGAGCAAAGTTACGACGAGGGTACTGCACGAACGTAAACTTAAGAGAACCGTATGCTGTACATTAAAGAGCGCGAAAATTAGTTTACCGCTGCAAGGGTCAATGTTTTCTCAGCGAACGAAACGAAATACGAAATAATGCTACCAAATGCGAAATGAGCGGTAAACTATGTCGTTGGCGCCTTCTAATACTCTTCCCGAACTACCCAGCTCTCACGAATAGTTAAACGGTAGGTGAATGTATGTACAATACTGTTCAATGCCAAGCCAATAGGTATTAAACGCTATTATTTTAGCCACTATTGCTTTGGCATTGTTACCTGGTCGTCGGATGAATCCACTTCCCTGGGCGTTGGCAACTCAATGTCCATGTTCTGCTTCGGTTGTAGGTGTGGATGGCGGTCTCCAATTCCGTGATCTTCCTTCTGGATTGTCGATTGGCGGTTTTTTCGCGGCTTTAACTCGCGAACAGCGTTCTGGTCGAACAACGATTTAAAACGAAAACTAATCCCAAAGTCCCTGCTCGGGCGCCATGTAGAAAATTCGAAACTATGTTTTGATGCCTTTACTTAGGCTTGAGACGCGGGAATTAGTAGTAGAGACCAGAGCTGTGGGCGGAGATAAAAGGCGATCAAGAAATAAACCGTGCGAGACGAAGTTCAATTTACGATTGCTTTATTCCCACGCATCGCTTGTCGGCTATGCTGCGGGCGTGTAGTTGCATGTTGCTATGATTTACAGTGGCGGGACTTCATGTCGTAACCTTACGAACTACATTACATTCCATACATAACTTCATTGGTTTTCTACTTATTTACTCTTATTCTATTGTGTAACGACACACACAACGGATCGATTTCGGTCACCAGAACTATGATTGCCTTTGCACGTGTCTTATTAGATATATGCTTACACAGATTCACTCAGATATTACTATGTCGAAAGACACTGCAGCTTCGCTTTGGTTATGATTCGTCTAAAACCTTCGCTACTTGCATTAGCTCTTACTGGGACTGTCGGAACTTTACCTTCCACAAAGAACGGAGTAATCGTACGATGCTAGGAAAAGTTTACGCAGAGCTACTACGACTAACGGAGTAATCATACGATTCTGAACAAAGCTTTTACATACATAAATTCCTCCGATCCACACTGCTTCGCTATGTCCAAGCCTAAGCTTTTCAATTAAAGCTTTAACTAGCTACTCTGCCATAATTACTCTCCTCTCTTAATTCAAACCCGAAGAGAAAAGACAACGCTCTCGATACGTTCGATATTGGTCTGGGACATTGGTCACAACTTCCCACTACAGTATATGCCCCGTGCTTCCCAATAACCTTACCATATCCTACTCCCAAACCAGTCACCACCCATATATATGTTTGCAGATTCTGAAGGTACTCACAATCTCACTCGGAATTGCTGGCAATCTAAAGGTTATTGAGTCGGAGCCAGGCCAGGAGATAGGGATGTTCCGAATTTAATGATATTATTCTGGTTGTTTCTTTTCGTCAAGAAAAATTACTTACTAAGTATGCTATTAATTCAAACGTCTAGTATTTCATTGTGTAGGAATTTTGGTTCTGACTCAAGTCGGTTCCATACCACGTATTAAATATCTAGAATACTTTCATCTGTCTAACTGGAATTGAGATTTGCTCAGATTGGAGATTTTTTTCGGTCAGTTCCTCTTTTAGTTACATTAGATATTCATTAGATATTATTTCTTTTTGTAGATTTTGTCCACGGATTTCGAGATTTTCTGTACTTCTTTCTAACACTTACTGCGGATACGAATGCTTAAGGATAAGTCCCTCGATTCCAAATCCAGTTTTGGTTTACTATAGATGTTAGTGCTTGTTATAACCTAGCAAAGAGGCAGAAGGTTACTAATCCGGCTCGAATGACCGGATTCCATCATTTCCGGCAACCAAACCTTTCACCACGTGTGCACAGGTCTTATGATTATTTCTGGTCGTCGTCGTCTGGTTATTTCTTAGAAACCAACAGGAATTTTTGTTGTATCGACGAGTTATTTTTGTTCAATTTGTATTTCACAGCTTCGTCAATCTTTTGCAATACCACCATTTTCAGTCGACATACAGATAATGACTGCCAACTCATCTTGGATCAAAAATATACATAAATGTGTTGAGTTCGGTCACACTTACAAAATATCCGATATTCGTTGTAGGGGTTTAATAAGGAAAGGGTTAAATTAAAACGAGAAGGCACGTGTGAGTCGCTTCTGAGGATGCGACTCTACTTATAGCCATATTCAGTCAGTACATTAATTTTTGAGATTATCTTAACTCTTTTTTGAGTACGGGTATAAAAACTGACCAGCGCATCCGTTGAGCTCAAGGGGGCGACGCGGAAACATATTCTGAGGAAAAGAGAGAAATTGTAATTATACAGGTCTTGGCTTCTAATTCAAATCAAGTGAAGATTTCATTCTTTTCATACCCGTTCAACGTTGATTTGTAACTTACAAAGGGATTTTCTTTCTATCGTCTCTCTTTCATTCGGGCTAAATCATCGTTACAGATAACTACTTATATAGGTTTTCTTTTATTTTATATATATAGATAATAAAGAACTAATATAATCCTTAAGAAGGGATTACTACTAATTGAGAAAAGAATGTACTGTCTAAAAATCGAGATCTACGGTTTTACATTATCTCATGGCTCTCCCATTTACAATATGTGTCTGCACAGCACAATTGTCTATTTGCACAGTTTGAGAAGTACTATGACTGTCATGAAGAACTTTCAGCCGAAAGCTTTGGCGGCACGCTTAATACACAAGAGAGTAGGGTGACGAGTGTGGCTTATGGATTTCTTCAAATTCACATGTACATCGTTCTATTAGTTTTACTCAATCTCCTCTCCTACTTTATATCTGCATATAGATATTCATAAAAGTATTTATTCAGCTAGTCTGTCTCTTCACTTTAGTAATTTTTCTTGGGTCGTTTTCGTTGCTTTATTTCGTTGACGATGATATGTAAGGTTCCTGGAGTTCCTGGGGAGATCCGAGGTCTCTCCCAACGCTACCAGAACGGTCGATGTACTTTGCTGCTCCCGTTTTTTTTTATGTGTCGGGTAGCACTCACTATGGAGAAAACTAGTTGGATTTCCAGCCCTAAGACACGAAACGGTTAGAACGGCTTCACTTATGAAACATTTAACTACCTTTTATCTTCCTTCACACACAACGGATCGATTTCGGTCACCAGAACTATGATTGCCTTTGCACGTGTCTTATTAGATATATGCTTACACAGATTCACTCAGATATTACTATGTCGAAAGACACTGCAGCTTCGCTTTGGTTATGATTCATCTAAAACCTTCGCTACTAGCATTAGCTCTTACTGGGACTGTCGGAACTTTACCTTCCACAAACAACGGAGTAATCGTACGATGCTAGGCAAAGCCTACGCAGAGCTACTACGACTAACGGAGTAATCGTACGATGCTAGGCAAAGCTTACGCAGAGCTACCACGACTAACGGAGTAATCGTACGATGCTAGGCAAAGCTTACGCAGAGCTAGTACGACTAACGGAGTAATCATACGATTCTGAACAAAGCTTTTACATACATAAATTCCACCGATCCACACTGCTTCGCTATGTCCAAAACTAAACTTTTCAATTAAAGCTTTAACTAGCTACTCTGCCATAATTACTCTCCTCTCTTAATTCTAACCCGAAGAGAAAAGACAACGCTCTCGATATGTTCGATATTGGTCTGGGACATTGGTCACAACTGCCCACTACACCACAGTTGAGGAAGCGCTAGTGTTTACTGTCGAAGCCTAAACAGAAGAAGGGCAGTTACTTAGTGTTTAGCTTGCATGTCCTTAAGATGAAATATTCCTAAGTCTTTCCCCTGTTCATTCTTCAGCTGATAATAGGATGAGCCTACTCTTCGGGATACCACCGCTGAATTAAAAACCGGCGCTAACTTTGCACTAAACTTTTTGATGGCATTGCTTTGACAAAAATTACGGGCCAGTACAGGTTCTCCAACTTTAAACTTTACTTTCCGACTACGTAGATTATATCTCCTAGCATTTTGTTCATGGGCCTCTTTCACCTTTTTCTTGGCCGCTTCTCGAATAGTTTGTAATGCTTCCGTATAACTAATTCGACTATCATCCGATAAGAGTTTTAAACGGCGAAGCAGCTCATAGTCCTTGCCATTTAGAATCATATTTTGTCCAAATGTTAGGAAATAGGGGGAATACCCTGTACTTTGGTGAACGCTGGACCTGAGAGCGGCACTAATTTCAGGTAACTTAGTGTCCTAAGTGGAATGATCTTGGCTTATGTAAGCTCTTATAGCTGCTAACACCGATCTATTTAGTCTCTCACTGGCGTTTGCCTACGGTGAGTATATTGCCGTACGTTGTATGTTGTATTCCAAAGCGGTTAAGAAACGCCTAAAACGCCCTCGAAACGAATTGATATCCGTTATCGGTTAATCGGATACGGACCCAGCAGATCCATATAAAGTTTTTGAAACGGACGATCAGACACCATGGGTTTTCCCATCGGCGGTTTCAAAACAATGTTCGGATGTTTGGTGTGTCGACACACTTCGCAATGAGTTACATATTCCCGTATCTGTTTGTACATCTTTGGAAAGAATAAATATTTTTTAATTTTTTCGATTGTTTTCCCCACACCACTATGGAGCGGCATTAGGCGGGGGGCGATCATGGGCCCGACTGATTACCTCTTGGGTAAGTTCCCCTAGGTGATATAACGGTTTAGTGATATTTACTGGCAGATTACGCTATAGTGGCTATATCCTTTATGTCCTGCAATCCAAATTGATTGCAAAAGATCCTGCACATTCTCCAGAAGGCATTGACACATTCAGGACGTTGTACAAATGGCTAGGAGGCGTGGCATGTCCTGATCCGATAAGAAACTGCAGAGTTAGAGTGAAAAAGGGATATTTACTGGCAGATTACGTTATAGTGGCTATATCCTCTATGTCCTGCAATCCAAATTGATTGCAAAAGATCCTGCACATTCTCCAGAAGGCATTGACACATTCAGGACGTTGTACAGATGGCTAGGAGGCGTGTATTGTCCTGATCCGATAAGAAACTGCAGAGTAAGAGTGAAACAGGGATATTTACTGGCCGGATACGTTATAGTGGCTATATCCTCTATGTCCTTCAATCCAAACTGATTGCAAAAGATCCTGCACATTCTCCAGAAGGCATTGACATAATCAGGACGTTGTACAGATGGCTAGGAGGCGTGGCATGTCCTGATCCGATAAGAAACTGCAGAGTTAGAGTGAAAAAGGGATATTTACTGGCAGATTACGTTATAGTGGCTATATCCTTTATGTCCTGCAATCCAAATTGATTGCAAAAGATCCTGCACATTCTCCAGAAGGCATTGACACATTCAGGACGTTGTGCAGATGGCTAGGAGGCGTGGCATGTCCTGATCCGATAAGAAACTGCAGAGTTAGAGTGAAACAGTGATATTTACTGGCAG